CCTTCAAATCCATTTAAGATTGTAAGATACTGGAGAAGCTCAGAGATTCTAAGGCAGAAGTGAATGCTGAGGATGCACAAGGCAAAAACCAAACCTTCGTCAGCCTCTTCCACGGCCAGAGTTCCCCAGAGGCCTGCCCTTAATGTGATTCAGCTCCCTAACTCAACGCCCGGGCCTCTCAGTGCAGATTCCAGTCTGATTGGCCCAGCATGGGTCAGGAATCTACTCTGGTCCAATCCGCTCCAGCCAGGAGGGCAGGTTTAAGGAGAGCAGACTTGGCTTTGGGGGTACCCTGTGTTTGTGGATGTGGTTGGAGGCGGGTTCTCTAGAAGAGGGACTGGGCAGACATCCAGATGATATTCTTTTGTGCCTTCTTTTTCTCCCATTCCCATATTCCTAAAGAAGGGGATTTTACAGTGAATTTGTCTGGGGCACAAAAGCATAAGAAAAAAATGCCGTTCTGTGGGATATTAAATATGCACAGAAGGGCCAGCTCTTGAGGGAGAAACATTCTTATCCCAGTCTCTGTGGATATGTGTGGGCCGCTGGGGGCTGAGACACAGAAGAAACAATGCAAGGGACAACTGGAAAACTGACGTTATAAAAGAATCGATTTGCATGGTGCTGCCCACTACCGTGCCGCCTTGTTGATGGTGCTTAGCATGGGGGCAGGGCTGGGGGGGATGGGGCGGGGGGGGGGCAGGGCAGTGGGACAGGGCAGGGGGGTTCCAGGCGGAGGCCCCTCCCTGAGAGCCCTGGTGCTGTCACATGGAGGTGAGTGGCTTTTACTGGGCTGTCAGGTAACTCCAGCTGAGGAAGGCAGAGTTCAGCTCCACGGGTGTGTGTGTGAGATGGGCGGGGGAGGAAGCAAACCCACACGAGGCTGAGTGAGTGGCTGGGCGGAGCCCCTGGCACCCCGTGTCCGGCATTTAGGCCTCGTTCCTGGTAGCATCAGTATGTCTGTTCTTGCAGATGAGGAAAGAACCATAACCTGCGCGCGTACTGCCTCTTTGGAATGGAAAAAGGACAGTTGTTGGAGTCAGACAGACTTGGGTTTAAATTTCCACTCCCAAATTCCCAGAATGTAGTTCTCATCTCTGACCTTCTCTCATTTCCATTATTCTTAGCATTTGATCCCTTTTCTTGATTCCTGGTCTTTCACCCTACCTGCAAAGAGTGTAAAGAGTGTTTTTTAAATTTTCTCTGGAGCCAAGGACCACTCCCTGGGGCCTCTCAGTCTAGGCTAAGGCCACACGTTCCACAACTTCAGGAGCCCTCGGGGTCAGACCCTTCGGTGCAGAGCCTGGGATCAGAGGACAGAGCCTGGGGTTGGGCTCAGGGTCAGAATACCTGATTCTGCTCCTGACTCCCTGAGCGAATTCGGGCAAATCCTTTTCCTCCTTGGGAAGAGATAATAGAAATAGCGACCACTCCCTGAGAGCCAACGGCGGCCAGGCTCCATGCTTCAGGTACGTGCCTCAGCGGATCCTCGGAGTGAGCCTGCAGCTTGGGCACTACTAAGTTTCCTATTTCACAGATGAAGAAACTGAGACTCGGGGAGGGCATGACTTGACTGAGTGAGGTGAGAGTGCTTTGTGCTGAAGCCTGGGTGTGATCCAGGGATCCTGACTCCCCCCCTCCCCCTGCTATATGTGAACCTCCCTAAAATAGCTTTCATTTTCTGGAACACGTGTTATTTTCCAGGAACTGTGCCGAGCACTTTGCATCCATTTATCTCCTTGAATCCTGGCTCCCTCTCATCATAATCTTACCTTAAACGTCACCTCGCCGAGATGTCTTTGGAGGCTTCTCCCATCACATCACACCCTCCGGCTCGCTTAGTTCCTTCCCAACCCTTTGGTTGGGAGAAACCCATTAGCCTGCTTATTTGTATACTCCCTGCCTCCCTGCTTCTTGAGGGCTGGGAGCGGATGGGTCTCATCCATTATTGTGTCCCCGCCACCTCTGTGCCTGATTGGCACATAGTAGGCATGATAAAGATGCGTTAAGTAAACGAGCGAGTCCCCACAACAACTCTGTAGAGCGCACACCATACCAGCTGCGTTTTACGGAGAAGGAAATCGGGGCCCAGACATGAAGCAGCTTGCAGAGTCCCGGAGTCACTGGATAATGGAGCAAGGATTCAAACCCCAGCAGAAAGACTCGAGAACCTCCCGCGATGCATCCTAACGGCCCCTCCCAGCTCCAAACTTGGAAGCTGTGCCCACCCTTGGCCTTTATCTCATGGGAGAGGAGGGACCGTGGTTCTCCTGGGCCCCAGGACCCTCTGCTCCCGCGTGGTGGACTAGGAAGGAAGGCCTTGTGCTTGTTTGTACTTTTTCTCCAGGAGAGTGCAGAGGTTTGGACCCCTGTCGAGGCCGGGCTGACGGGATTAGAGGAAACAGCTGGCCTGAGCTGTGCCCTGCGGGAGGGAGCTCACATTCCCAGGACTCCGGGAGGGGGCGGCTCCCCACAGCCCAGTCACATTCCAGGTCGGTCTTTTTCCTGAGCCCAGATGTTTGCTAATGAGCTGGGGAGAGAGGCTTTCAGCCCTCTACCCCGGCTCTGGGCCCCACATTACCTCGGCCCCAAGAGGCTGGCGCAGGGCCAGCAGCCTCTGGCTTCAGGCCCGTGCCCTGTGCCAGCCAGGCCTGTCGGGGCAACTGGCATACCTCTGCCAACCAGGTGCATCTCAGTGAGCTTGGAGAGTCTAACGTGACAGGTTCTGCCTTTCCTGCTGGGGCCCCAGCTCCCCGGTCCGTGGTGCAGCATCCCAGCTCTGCGCGGGGAGGGGCTGCAGGCAACCGCGAGGGTGTGGTGGGCAGGGGAGCACGGGCTTGGCTCTGGGTTCAAGTCCAGACTTTGTCAGTTACTTGCCACTTGATCGTGGGCAGGTCCTAAACATTTTGATGCTTTGCCTTTTCTCACCTGTGAAATGGGAGTTAAGGAGGGGATTGTGGTAAGGATTTGATAGTGCCTAGTATAATCCCTGACACAGAGCGGTAGCTGTTGGCATTATTAACAAGTCACCTTGCAGACCCCTGCCCTCATTCTGGCCCTCCTGTAATTCCCAGTCTTCACCAGATATCTGTGACTCAACCCCAAACCTATACCCTTGATTAGGCAGTGAGGGTTGTTCTAGTAGTGGCTGAACTGTCAAAGGCTTCTAGTCCTGGCTCTCTGGCAGATTTGAGGAGCACAGGCGGCTACGCTCAGCTCCCTGCAGGGCTGGAGTGGGCTCTTCCCAAAGGTAGACACCCTCCCCAAGGTCCACGCTGAGGATGCTGGTGGTAAGCAAAATGGCATTTCCTGAGCGCCTGCTGCGTCCGGTGCAGCGAGGCTGGGCTCCGTGGGACGAGACCCAACAGACAGTGGCTGTTACTGGCATCACCTTGTACTGTGTGACTTTAGGTCAGTTCACCTCTCTCTCAGTCTTGATTTTTATTTTTTTACTTATAAAATGGGGGTAACAATACTGTTTATCTCATAGATTTATTATGCAGGTGGAAAGTACTTAGAATGAGGCCAGGCCCATAGTAAGGTCCACAACGTGTGTGTGCGTGATTGTGATTGTTATTACAGTTATCCTCGTGGAAGCACTTACCTGTGGGGATGATACTTCATTTACACAAATATATTGTACGCCTTGTCTGGATGCTGGGGACGCTGAAATCCCTGTCATCCCTGCCCTCAAGGAGCCCATGGTCTAGTGGAGGAAGGTGATCTACTCAACTAGACCAGAGAGAAAGCAGCATTAACAGAGGTATGTATTCCATGCTCCTGGATCACTTGGAAGAGGAAGCTGATGCCACCTGAGGGTCTTGGGAAGGCTGTCCACTCTGGTGCTTGAAGAGTGCCTTTATCAGGAGATGGAAGGAGAGGAAGGGCCCCCTGGCAGAGGGAAGAGCAGAAACAACTGCTAGGAAGCATGGAGGGGGCAGGCAAGCCAGAGTACACGGTGGAGTTAGCAGGGGGCCACTAGGAGCCACCCAGGATGTGAGGCCACCTCCAGGCTTCAGGTGAGCAGGGCTTCGTCAATCTGGGAGCTTCCAGCCAGGCTGGACACGGACACCTCAGCTAGAAAACAAATCTCCAAGTCCCGGGATTGTGTCCTGGGCAGCTGCTTTTTGGAACAATGCTATTTTCTCACTCCATTGGGCACACAGAACAGAGAGGACAGGACCGCAATCCACCCAAGTGCCCAACTGCAGATGGATTAGTTGGGTGCTCCCCCGCTCCCCGCCCTCCTCAAGGTGAGGCTGGGGGCTGGGGGCTGGGGGCTGGGCCTCGCTGGGCTCTCCTCTTCCCTGGACCCCGGGAAGTGAGTCCATTTCCTGGCTCTCTCTTTCCGAATGGTCCTTCCCGGGGCTCTCAGCCCCTCCTCTGGATGCTTAAGCCAAGTGCCCGAGTTGAGGGGAGGCTGGGCGGAGGGCGAGTGACACTAGGGTAGGAAGAGTGTGGCCCGACCGGTCCCACGTCCAGGAGTGTATGGATAGGCTGGGCACTGCGGAGCGAGGACAGTCTCCTGGTGTCGGGACTCGGTGGACTGAGCGCCACACCTTCGGAGCAAGACCGGTATTCCCGCATAAGGGAACACCTCCATCTTTGTCACCCCGAGGCCTGATGCCCCCGTCTCGGGAGAAGTTAAGCGGAGAGAAATCGGAGAGCAGAGAAACACAGCGGAGGCAGCTTTAGAACTAGCAGGGGCGCTGGGCTCTCTGCCCTGTCCCTAGGGCGCAGGCCAGGGCGGCACCGCAGCTCCGCCGCGCGCCCTGTCGGTGCGCGCCGAAGGCCCACCCGAGGCTCCGGGCGGGCGGGAGAGGGGGCCGGGGCCCCGGGCGGCCGAGGCGCCCCCTCCTGCGCGCCCGGAGGGAGCGGCCGAGCGAGCCCGCCCGCTCTTTCTTGTTCGCGTCCCTCCCTCCGCTGCCCCCGCCCTCGCTCCCTATTTGGAGCGGAGACACCCCTGACGTCGGAGCCGCTCGCTCGCCGCTCCCCCGCACCGCGCGCCCGCCCGGGGCCGCAGACGGCGCGCCGCGCAGCCCAGCCGAGCCTCGCGGGGCCGCCGCCAGCCCTGCCGGCCGTCTCCCCGAGCCTCCCGGGGCCGCCGGGCCTGCCACCGCTGCGGCCCGCAGACAGCTCCGCAGGACCCGGCGGGCGCGCCGCGCTCCTCGTTGCCGCCGCTGCCGCACGCGTGGTAAGTCCTGACCGGGCCGGCACGCGGGCACCCAGCTTCCAGAGGCTTCGGCCGCAGGGGCAGCGCCGCGCCCCCGGCTGCGTGTCCGGCGGCCCAGGGCACGGGGCCGAGGCGCTGCCGCGGAGCCCCTCCGGACACCGGGGCTCGGGAACGTGGGCGCGGCACGGGGTGGCCAGGGGACACCGCTGCGCCCCGAGCCTGCTCCCAGACTCGCTCAGGATTTTTACTTCTTGGTAGGAGTCTTCACAGCCAGGAGAGAACGGGAGGGAGATGCGTGGCGGAGCGAAAGCCCGGCGGGTCGAGGGCGGGTCGGGCCGCGCGGGCGCCAGGACAGCGCCCGGAGTTCGGTAGCTGGGCTCGCGCGTCTCCCCGGCTGTACCCGGGCCTTCCCGCTCCGGTACGTTTCTGCCTCCTTTTTGTGTCTATCTCTCCCCCCCATCTGTCCGCCCCTCTCTGTTTCCTTCCCTCTCTTTCTCTGGTTCTGTCCCTTTTCTTCCTGTTTCTCCGTTTCGAGGTGCCCAGGGGTTGTGTCTCTGCCTGTGTGTTTTCTCCGACTCTCCGTCCTGCCCCTCCGTGGGGGTCTCTCTCTGTGTGTGTCTGCGCGCCCGGGACCCCTCACCCCCAAATGCAGACAATCCCCCAGTGTCGGAGTAGTCGGAATAGTTTCCTCGACCCTGTAAAAGAAACGAAACCCTCCCCCTACCTTCCGCCTGCCCCCGGGGCCTGGCCGGGGTCATCCCCCTGGAACTGAGTCAGGGGCAGGGGGAGCCAGCCTTTCCGGGGGCTCAGTTTTCTTAAGAGTTCCACCCCCGCGAGGCGGCCTGGACAACAGGGCCCTGCTGCCGGCCACCTGCCTGCCTGCTCCCTGGGCGGGGCGATTCCGATCCTTTACAAGCAGCCGTAAAGGGGCAGCTGCCTGCCTTGGTGTGGCCAGCGCTTGGCGGGCAGCAGGGAGAAGCGCACATTTTCGGGCTCTCCGAGGCCCCCGGCCAGCTGGAGGACGCCCGCCGGTAACTAAGGGAACCCTGGGGAAAACAGAGGTCAGGGCCTGAGGCCAAAGGCTGGGCGCTGGCAGGGGGTGGGGGCGAGGAAGCAATTTGTCAACAGGCCCCTCATCCTTCGTTACTGTCAAATCACCGGCCTCCTGAAACTCCAGATGCTGGGGCTACTTGGGTGTGGTTTGCCTTTAGCTGGGGCCAAAGAAAAGGTGACGCTGGAGCATTTCCTCAGCGGCCCCCATGCCTGGTCCCCCACCGCTCTCCCCCTGCACCTCTCCCCGCCACCCCTGCAGGCTTCTCCTGGGCCTGTGTGCCTGAGGGGTGGATGCACGGCACCGGCCTCGAGTAGATCCTCATTCTTTTAAAGTGAAATCTCAGATCAGTGCAGCCCCTTTCTCCACTCCCCCCCCAACCCCAAGGGTCCTGGGAGCCAGCAGGGGTGCTGGTGAGGGCTGTAGGGGGACTTCTGCTGAGCAGATGTGTCGGCTGGCCTGCAGCAGCTCATTAGCATAGATTTGTTTTGGAGACAGCGTTGGGTCTTCCGGCAGGAGGGTCTGCAGGGTCTGCAGGCAGGAGGGCCGTGGCCTGGGTTGGGGGTTTGCAGCCTGGAAGGTGGAGCTGCCTGGCAGAGGCCGGCAGGCCTTTTGGGCCTGGGCTTGGCCCTGCGCGTCCGCCCCCTGGACGGCTGGTTCATGCTCTGCCAGCGCTGACTGGGGAGGAAGGAAGCCGCCCTGCGGTGAGACTGGGGTCATGGAATCGCAGCGGCCTCCAGCAGTGCCCAGGAGCCAGGTTCCCTGGGAGGGAATCGACTACAGTGGACATTCCCAGGCGGCCCTCCCTATTTTGCAGGCGTGGGGCTTAGGGAGGCGAAGCCAGTGGCCTGCGTCCTGAGCTGTAACCATTAGACCATCCTGCCTCCAGGCTGGCTTTGAGGCAGCAGATGAGCTTGGGCCTGAATTTGCCCTCGGCCCCGGAGTGGGTCTGGGAAGCCTCGCAGAGCGGACTGGGCTGGGATCTGACACAGCCTGGCCCCTTCCCAGAGTGACCTTTCCAGTTGCACCATTCAAGGAAGTCCCTGCACTCAGTCCAAGATCTGAAGTGATCGCCCCACCCTTGCTGATCCCTGAGCCCAGGGCCGCAAACGCCACACCCTCTGCACCCAGCAGCATGCACTGCACCGCCCGGCGGCCAGGCCCAGCCTATTTTTTGGAAGTTGGACCGTAGAGGGGGCTGGCCTCTCCTGGACCCTGTCCCTTTAGTCAGTGGCCCAAGAATTAAGAGTCTGAGTGCGATCGTCCCCTGGGCCCCCACCCTGGCAAGCGAGTGTGTGAGTGGGGCAGGACTCGACAGTTCATACAGCCCCTCCCAGCCCTCATGTCATTTGCTCAAGGTTTCCCCTCAATCCAGTTTCACTGTGGCAGGTGCAACCCTGGATTTAGATATTGTCAGGGCCACCCAGGATCTGGTGGGAGGGAAGAGAGGGTGAGTGGGGATCGTGTGGGAGGCAGCAGGGTGGGTGTGGGCAGAGTTCAGGGAGCATGAGCGGCCCAGGGTGACTCTGAGCTCAGTAAATGGTGACATTTACTGAGAACTTACCCCATGACAGGCACCGTCTCCAGAGGTTTCCATGCACAACTGCCCTCTGAGGTGGGTAGTATCACTACCCGCCTTTGCAGATGAGGAAATTGAGGTAGAGAAAGGTTCAAGTGGCTGAGCGCAGGTGGGAACCCGGGTCTGTCACTGTCTGCTGTGAGACTGAGAAAGACCCAGGCCCTGCCCTTTGTGTGTGTGTTGGGGCTGGGGTGGGGGGGGGCTTGAGGTGAGTACTACTTTCTACCAAAAAAATCCTCCTGTGCTTGGCACTAAGGGACCCCGAATATTCAGATTTACCCAAAAGAGGAAACGGGAAGTGATTGGTCACCTATTACACAAAATTGACTGCTCTACAAAGGGCTTCACAGTGGGTGGTGGTGGGCTGAGGTTTCCCTTGATACCTGGGCCCCTCTGTGAATTTCAGACTTGGTTCCAGGCTCTAGGATGCAGGCAGTGGGGTGGGCGGCCCCCTGTCGGCGGTGCTGTTATGGGGGCCCCTTCTCTGGGGAGTGGGGCTCTGGCTCCTGACCTGGCTAGGCCTCAGAATCATATGGCGGCACCCCCCCCGACCTGCAGGGTCAGACCTGGTACTGAGCCTGGGAGTTTTTGGCAAGCGTCTCAAGGAAGAGACTAAGTTGTGGGCGGTGTGGAAACGCAGAGGACCCTCTCTGCACCTTGGTTCATGTCGTGCCCTCAGCCAGGGGCGCCCTCCCTGCCCCCCTGCCCACTGGTAACTCGTGTCCCCAAAGCCTGCGTTCTTGCTGCCCCCCACCCCCAGGCCTTCCCGAGGAGTGTTTATTCAGCTGCCCTCTTTCTCCCTGCGGGAGATGCAGTGGCCACGTTCTTGGTCTTTGCCTCAGTTTCCCTGGTGCTGGAATGGGTCAGCCAGCATCACCCTGCCCCCTCCTCCGGGAAACTCCCTTTCTGTGTTGTTGGCAGCCTCGGAATGTGTCGAGTGTTTACCCGAGGACTTGGAGGATCTGAAGGGCTTGGTTTGGGAACGGGCAGTGAGGTGGTAAAAGGCCCCACCCTGGGCTGTGGGTGCTCTCGCTGAAGCTTGCAGGGGAGTCAGGAGCGGCTTTGAACCCTGCTGCGGGGGGCTTCCAAGCTTCCCAGCCAGGTGGTGGTTGAACAGCGGTGTAAAAAACAGGCTGAACAGGGATGAGAGACACAGCAGCCAGGCTGGGGCCAGGGCTGGGCCAAGGGCAGGGAGCCCCAGGCCTCATGCCCACTCCAAATTCCTGGCTGCCTTCTCCATTTCCTACTTCCTCCTCTGTGACCCTTTCCATCTGCAGAGGTGGCTGGGGGTGTCCAGGTTCAAAGCTCAGTTCTATTTATTACTTATTGGTTCTAACTACGGACGAGGCATTGTTCTAAGCACTTTCACGTGTATCGTTTATTTAGGCCTTCCGACAGAGGCTCAGAGGTTACTTGTTAATAGATCTCTTTTTGCTGTTTACTTTTTAGTAAATCTCGAGCCAACCTCATAACCTCTCTGTGACTCAGTTTCTTTGCCTGTACAAGGTACGGGGGGTGGGGGGGAAGAAGCTCCACGGCACAGGGTTGTTGTGAGGACTGGATATTTATGTAAAAGCGCCTGGAGCAGTGCCCAGTCCATAGTCAGCTGTGCTGGGCTGACGTGGATAAATGCCCCCTCCCCCCTGCCCTGGGCCTTGGTTCTTGTGATTCCCTCAGCCAGGAGCATCCTTCCAGTCCCCACCGTTGATAATTCATTGTGAGCCTGGATTAAATTCAGGGTAAGATTCTCTGCTCCCGGCCTCTCCGACAACCCTCTCTGTGGCCCCTCCTCTAAACTCGCCCCGCTCCTCCTCCCCACCTAGGCTTGGAGCTCCTGAGTGCACACAGGGTCTGGGACCCCAGTACCCCTGCTCACACCCTGGCCTTCCTCTCCGCCATCCTGGGAGGTGCTCAGTAAATGAGTGTGGGCTGCAGGGCACCACGTGACTCAGGGAAAGGGCACTGCTTGGCTGACTTGCTGGGGGGGCGGGCCTCGGGACAAGGCGGGGAATCCCCCTACCCACCCTGTTATTCCGAGAGTCCTGCAACTTGCTCTGTGACTTTCAGGGTAGGGAGGAAGGGGTGAGAATCTGTGGACGAGGCTCTCAAGTGTCAGGAAGGAAGGTCTGACTGCTGTATAAGAAATAGTAGCTGAGTTGCTTGAAAAAGGAAAAAATGATAAACCAACAAAAAATTAAACCTGTTAGCAAAGAACCCACTCCAGTCAGTGCAGAGGGGAGGGGGAAGGGGGGAAGGATGGGCCAGGGGCAGTTGTTGGTGGCTGGATGTGGGGGCGGGAGGAGGGTGGGTATGCCCTGATGACGGATGTGTCTGTGGGAGAGAGTGGCCTGGCCTCCAGCGCCCAGCTTTGGCTCTGGTGCCCGCCCAGCCTTTCCCTTGATCCCGCAGGGGAGGAGAACTGGCTTGAGTTGGGTGCCTGCTGTGTACTGGGTGCTTTCGTCGCATGTTCCCAGTTACTCTCTGAGGAGAGTGCTATGCTTCCCTGTCTCGGGTTGAGGTAGGTCAGTGCAGGGAGGTGAACTTTATTTCTGGAAGTCACATGGCTCCTAGGCGGGAGGGCTGGGACCCAAATGTAGGAGACGCCAGGGGCCATGCTGGCCGAGCCCAGGCTGTCTGCTGCCTGGAGAAGCTGCATGTGGCCCCAGACCCCTCTGAGGTCCGGGCGAGGCTGCCTGAGCTGGGTTACTGTGCCCCTTCTGTGGACGCAGCTGGCCCTGAGGCTGAACTCTCAGCTGTGTAACAGAAGAGGAGGAAGACCTGGGAGGGGGTCTTCTGCCTCAGTTTATCTCGTTTCTCATCAGCTTCTGCCACCAGGTGACCCTAATAACCAGCCTCCATCCTCCGGGCCAGCGACTCCCTTAAAAAACCCACTGTTTCTTCCCCGTAAGCCTTGTTATTAGCCTCAGCGGCAGTCCTGGTCCACAGCCTCAGTTCTGACCTCTGCGCACCCCAACTGCCCATCAGACCCGAGTGCTCGTCTCCAGGATTTCATTAAAATGCCAGTCTCAACTCCCAACCCTAAGGACGCCTGAAATCACCCCGTCTCTGCTGCCTCCCTGGCCACACCTGCCCTGACCTTCCCCAGGGGTAGTGATGGGGTCAGGTATAGGACAGAAGTCCCCATATTTCTCTGACGTCTCCAGGGGGCCAGTCCAGACAGGGGAGACCCAGGGGGCTCTGGCCTTAGGGGGCCTCTGCGCCTCTCCTGGTCAGCCATGGTGAGACCCTGCCGGACTCAGGCTAATTCCCTGGGGACAGACAGGCACCGCTAGGAGTGAGGAAGCTTCCTGGATGCTAAGCCTGTTGAAAAATTAGCTATGTTGCCAGTTAGGAACACGTCCGTTCTATTTTGTTAGGATGTGGTCGCACTAAAAACATGGGCTTTGCTGTCTATCTTGTGAGCGGGACCGGAAGTGTGTGGGTGGGAGCCTGGGCCACGACACAGACTCATCTGGGACCTGGGACAGGGCAGGCTGGCCGGGCCCACCTCCTGCTCTCCCTGGGTCACCCCCTCACCCCCCGCAGCTGCGGGGCCTTGCTGGGTGGAGGGGACAGAGGGCCGTGGAGGCGGTCACCCGCCGCGGGCTGGCCCGGGCGCTCTCTGCAAGCCCGGCGGAGCCCATCCACTTAGGCTTTCCCTGCAGGAGCAGGCAGGACGCCCCCAGCATTGCCCCTCCCCGGACACTGTATAAAGTGCTTGCCACTTTGGTCAGAAAGTGGGCTAAGCTTGTTCCACCTGGGTGCCCAGCCCCAAGCCAGCCCGACTCCAGCGCTGGGTGTCTGTGGGACCAGTGGGATAGGACCTGACCCCTCCTCCGGTTTCACCCCCACCCAGGCTCCTCTGCACACGGGGTCCCAGGCTGACTGACCTGCACTGGTTCCCACGCCAGGCTGCATATCCAAACCGCCCTGGAAGCTTGTTAGACTTGCAGGCTCACACCCACCCTTGGACTTTCACGCCACAAGTCCCCGGGGAATTCTGAGGATCTCAGAAACCAGTGGTCTCGGGCACCTTGCTCACGCATCTTACAGGTGGGGGCGGTGTAGTCACACAGCACGGGTGGACTCCTGACTGTCCAGAGCCCTTTCCCCAGTGGACCTCTTAGCAGGCATTGCCCTCCTTCCTGACTTTCCCCAAAGCCTTCCTCCTCCACATTTTTTTGAGGTAGGGGTGTGGGGGAATCTCAGGGAAGATGAAGTGGGGAACATTGGGAGTCCCCTCCGACGGAACCCTAGGAACACACACTGCCCTGCAGCGCCATCTGCTGGCAAAGCCTGTTAAGTTGTAGTGTCTTCCTCTAATTTACAGAGGGTCAAACGCTCAGCGCGGATTGTCTCCTGCCTGCCCCAGGTTAGGATGGAGCTGGGGACAATGATGTGTGTGTAGACTCAGGGCTTGAGGCTTTGGTGGGGCATCTGAAAAAGAAATACGGTCTAGTCTGAGGTTAGTCTTTTTATCTGGGATCCAGCCGGCCAAAGTGGCCCAAGAATTCACAGTGATATGAAGGTGGAGGTGAGCTTTCCTGACAACAGCCATGGCCACATGTCCCAGAGATGTGCGGGATGGCTAGCCCTCGATGGCATGTGTGGGCAGTTTTTCGTGTTTGCCTGGAGAGCCCACAACATCAGGGTGAGGAGGGAGCTAATTCACGATTGCTCGATCCTCAACACGTGCCTGAAACTTAGTCTCCTGCTCAGTATCAGCAATAATCCTTTGCCATGCACAGTATTACCATCCACACTTTTTAGATGAAGAAACTAAGGCGCAGAGGTAAAAGTAATTTGTCCAAAGCTACCTTGTAAGTTATAAAAACAACTGACGCATGGAGCGTGTGTATTCTTCTGAGGGCTTTTCACGTAACACCTCATGTAATCTTCATGATACCCACCTGATGTATATATTATTAGTGGCCCCGGTTTTTTTTTTTTAAGATGTTGTTTATTTTTCAAGAGAGGAGAAGAGAGGGAGCGAAACATCAATCGGTTGCCTCTTGCACGTGCGCTGACTGGGGACCTGGCCCGCAGCCCAGGCAGGTGCCCTGACCAGGGACTGCGCTGGCGACGCCTCGCTTTGCGGAACCACACCCAGCCAACTGAGCCACACCGGCCAGGGCAGCGGCTCCAGTTTTGAGGTTCACAAGGGAGAAATATCTTGTCCAAGGTTGTGCTTGGCTAGGGTTTGAACCCAGGCAGTCAGATGTCAGAGTTCATGCTTGTAACACCGCCGTCCCCTCCTCTCGGCCTCCTGAGCCTGGCTGGCCTCACCCACAGTCTGCTCAGTTCTAGGGCTCGGCAGGCCGCGGGCATGATGCTCCGGGTGCTGGTGGGGGCGGTCCTCCCCGCCGTGCTGCTGGCCGCTCCACCGCCCATCAACAAGCTGGCACTGTTTCCCGACAAGAGCGCCTGGTGCGAGGCCAAGAACATCACCCAGATCGTGGGCCACAGCGGCTGCGAGGCCAAGTCCATCCAGAACAGGTGGGATCCGGGGGGATGAATGGCGGGGAGGGAGAGGGCAGGGCTGCCCGTCTATGCCTCTGCCACAGCGACGAGCGCGTGGTGACCTCTCCTCCCACAGGGCGTGTCTAGGACAGTGCTTCAGCTACAGTGTTCCCAACACCTTCCCGCAGTCTACCGAGTCCCTGGTGCACTGCGACTCCTGCATGCCGGCCCAGTCCATGTGGGAGATTGTGAGTACCGCTGCCCGGCCCCGCCCCGCCGGCCCGGCCCCGCCCCGCCGGCCCCGCCCCGCCCCGCCGGCCCCGCCCCGCGGAGCCCAGCCAGGCCTGTCTCGCCCATCTTTCGAGTTTCGCCATGCTTCTCTCGCTGTCTTCACTAGCTGGACACTTGACACCAGCTCACCTCCTTTCAGCCTCTCACCCGCTTTGCTGGTTACCATCATAGGGCCTCTGTGCATGCTCTGGCTCTCGTTGGAACACCTTTTTCCTCCCCGTCTCCTGGTGAACTTCTATGCATCCTTCTGCTTGTAGCACAAGCATCCTTTTCTCAGGGCCCCTTTCCTGACCCCCTGAGCACCGCGTGCCTCTGCTTTGAGCATCTGTCACATCACTTTGCGGAAGTGATGTCCGAGGTCAGACCCAGAAGTTGGGTAGAAGGTAACTGCAGTGTTCGGGGCAGGTGGTGGGGGATGGGTTGGGTGGGGACCTTCCAGGCAGAGGGAACAGCACGTGCAAAGTCTCCTGCAGATCATTCAGCACAGTTGGTGGGAGGGGCACAAAGTCAGGGGCGGAGAGGTTCGCTGGGGCAGCCTGAAGGGCATGGAGCCCAGAGTTTCCTCCAAGTGCCGTGGGGAGCACTGAGGGGGAATTGTAGGCAGGGGTCAGGCCACATGCCTTTGCCCCCTCAGGGTGCCCTCTGGATGCTGTGAGGGGGCAGATGGGAAGGTGGCAGGACTGCATGTGAGCATACAAGTCAGGTGGCGCCTGCAGGGACTCCCCCTTCCCCCTGGAGGGGCCCACAGAGCCGACTGGGTCTCCAGGGGGGGCTGAGGATTCTGGGGCCTCTGGGGTTTTCGGTCCCATGAGGACGTGTCCCTTGGGACTTCCCTACCTGCCCCGGGCCTTTGGAAACATCCCTGCTGCCCTTCCCAGGTAACATTGGAGTGCCCTGGGCATGAGGAGGTGCCCAGGGTGGACAAGCTGGTGGAGAAGATCCTGCATTGCAGCTGCCAGGCATGTGGCAAGGAGCCGAGTCACGAGGGCCTGAGTGTCTACGTGCAGGGTGAGGATGGCCCCGGCTCCCAGCCGGGCACCCATCCCCACCCCCACCCTCACCCCCACCCTGGTGGGCAGGCGCCTGAACCCGAGGAACCCCCGGGGCACCCCCACACCGAGGAAGACGGGGCTGAGGACTGAGGCCCTCGACTCTTCCTCCCCGCTCGTCCCCCATGGAATGCTGGGGGAAGTGTGTGGGGAGAGGCTGAAGCCCCCCTTTGGCACTGGATGGACTTGGATTCAGACTTGGACTTGGAATGCTTCCCGGTTGCCATGGAGATCTGCAGGGAGGGGTGGGAGCCAAACTGCACAATTTAATATATTCAAGAGTGGGAGGAGGAAGCAGAGGTCTTCAGGGTTCTTTTTCGGATGGGGGTTCTCTTCCTTTCTGCCTCCTAGAGATCTGCCCTTGGGAAGGGGAGGAAGCTGGCTAAGCTGCTGAGGTGGGGAGCGAAGCCATCCAAGATGGCGGGAGCCAGGCTAAGGCCCATTCGGCCTCTGGTGGGGCAGGGCCCCTGGGGCACCGTGGTGGAGCTGGGCCCTGAGCTGAGGGTGGGTACCTTGCCAGCAGCGTCTGGGCTAAGAAGACCACGGGCTGAAGCAGGGAGCTCCAGCCCCACAGGCTTCTCCAAAGGCCTCCTGCCCCACTCCCATGCCAGGGCAGCTTCTCCCCATGGCCCTGACGTGCCCCCCTCCATGGTCAAGAGTCAGGCCTGGGCAGGACCCTGCTGACTCACGGCCCTGGAGCCAGGGGCTAGGTTCTTTGGGCCTCCGGCCTTCTTGGCTTTCCAGGGGGTGGAGGAAGGCAAGAGAGGACCCCTCCTAGGCCAGGGGTTGGGAATGACCCCCTTTCCCCCAAATCATCACAAAGAGCATCCCTCCCTCCTCATCTCTGAGATCTTAGTGCCTTCCACCACCCCCAAGTTCTAGGCCCCTCAGAAAGCCGATGGAGCCAGCCTCACCCTGTTGGGGGAACTCTTTCTAAATATCTGATGTTGGGGAGGGGCCTCCCTTACTCGGATTCCAAGGAGGGACCTGGGTGGGATGGACTCTGGCTGGACCTCGAGAACCGAGGAGGAGGTGCGAGGACTTCCGTGGGTGGCGTGGTCACTCTGGCTGCCCGGCTGCCCGATGCCACCTGCCTCCCCCTCCCACTGCACTTTAACCCTGGAGGGGGTGCGGGGTCCTGAGCGGGGCAGGGAAGCACTGCCTGGGTCCGCTGTTTGGTCCCCAGCAGCCTCCTGCCTGGGGCCACCCCACCCCCACAGCTGTTGTGACAAGAGCTTCTGGAGCTTGTAACCAGTAGATTGTCTCCCTGACGGACCCTGAGTTTTCTCACGAATAAATTTGTTCAACGCCTGCCTGTGTTTCCTTCCTCACTGGCTGGCTTCGTTGACCCAGGGTTCCCGCAGGGCCTGTGGGGAGGGGTGAGGCTGCACAGTGTGCCCTGAGCAGATCCTCCTGCACCCTGGTGACCCTCTTGCTTTCCTGCCATGTGTCCCTCTGGGCCCTGCCTCCCCAGCTCCCACTTCTCCAGGTGCCTGTTCCTGGTCTTGCCTGTATCTTTGGTGGGCTCCCCCAACGGGGCTTTTCTGGCTTGGGGCTCACCTCTTGCTGTCTCTGCACCCTTGCGGCGACCCAGCCTCAGGCCCTGGGCCCCAGCCTGGCCTGGACCAAGAGAAGGGGAAACAGACAAAACTGGTGATTGATTACAAACTCTATCCAGGTGGGGTGCCGTTCCAAAGACTTGGCGCGAATTAGGCGCCTAATCCTCACCACCATCCTGTGATATGGGGATGGCCCCCGTTTCGCAGACGGGGCATCTGAAGTGCAGAGGGGTCGGTGTGCCGGGGCCACCCGGGAACAGGACGCAAGCCCAGGCAGTCCAGCTTCCTCACTCGGCTCTCGGAGTAACCTTAGGAGTCGGCAGTTCTTCATCACCTGCTGTGTGCTGGGCTGGTCCTGACACCTCACAATGACCCTCCGAGTGTGGCAACATTACCCCCAAATTCTCCATGGAGACAGGGCAGGGTGAGGGCTATGACCTTTCTTCCTTGCACACATTGCCATAAGCACTGCATACCAGATAATTTATGTGTATTATTTCTAGTTCTTGGAAAATGCTCATCTTGCTAATGAGGGAAATGAGGGCCTAAATGCCCTGGGAGAGCTTTGCCCAAGCTGGGAAGTGGCGGCCCCAGGATTCTAATCGGGCGCCCTCTAGTGATAAGTGGTATGTACTACATGTGATTTCCTCAGCGTCCCATTCCTTTGAGGTGCTCTGCTCTGTTGTGCAGGACACAACTTGCATGACCGCCCACGGTGGTCCTGCATCCCTTGCTGTGGAACTGCAGGCAGACTTCAGTGGCCCCTCCATCTTGGAGCGTCAAGCCCTGGCCACATTAATAGTCTTTCTACATGACGGTGGGTGAGGACTCACTTGAGAGTGCAGAGTCCTGTGGGGCCCCCGAGGACACAGACCAGGTCCAAATGAAAGGGTTACGAGGACTGTGGCATTGGCGCTGGGCCTCCGAGTCCTGAGCACTGTCTTGGCGGGGTCTTAGTCAGGAGCTGCCTCCATCCTATGTGTGGAATAAGGCAGCGTAGAAGTTCATAGAAACCTGAAGAAATTAATGAGAGGCTGCTTGGTAAGAAAGCAGGAAGGCGGGATGGCGGGGCTGGTGGCTGGCCTGGGGTGCTGGTCAGATTGCAGCCTTTGTTCTCTTTGCAGTAGGAGCCCTGAAGTGTCTGCGCAGAACTGAGTTTCATTAAGACTAGAAGAAGGTTCGTGGGAGGAGGAGGGGGAGGCTGGTGACCAACTGGAAACTACCACAGTCCAGCAGGAGGTGATGGAGGCCAGAGTTGGACAGGAGCAAGTCTGGGGAGGCGGGGCCGCACAAGAGAGGCGCTGCTGATTGGATTTGGCAGCAGCGAGTGGGAGGAGCCAGCTTTGAGGGACTAGACACTCTGGTTAGTTGTGCTAGCTTGCCAACGGGAGTGAGATATAAAGCAGTGACTGTCGGTTTTTCTCTTCACTAACCTCAAATTGTCCAAGATAGTCCCTTTCCAAAATTGCATCTCCCCCTCCCCCATCCTTCCTCTCCGCCCTCACCCTCAAGAGATTAAAAATCTTTATAAGGGCCCTGCCGGTGTGGCTCACTGGGTTGGGTGGACCAAAAGGTCACAGGTTGATTCCAGGTCAGGGCACCCAGTGCCTGGGTTGCGGGCCAGGCCCCCAGTTAGGGGCATGCAAGAGGCAACTGATCGATGTTTCTCTCCCTCTTCTTCTCCCTCCATTCCCCTCTCTCTAAAAATAAATAAATAAAAAATCTTCAAAATAAAATTCTTACAAGGGGTTAATACTGACACACAGCACTGACAACACAGGCCCCTCTCTGGATGGGCGGGGGAATTGGTCCTGCTTCCCCGCCTTGTTAGCCTGAGTGAACCCAACAACCCTCAACCAGTTGTTGTTTTTTTTCTCCTGCTTCAAGCCTCAGGGAAAATCCTTCCTTCCTGGGTTCAGATCCTGGAAGGACCACTCCTTAGCTGTGTAATGTTGAGTGAGTCACTTAAGATCTTTGAGGTTCAGTTTTCCCATCAGTAAAATGCTGAATAATGATCACACCTTCTTCATTCTCAGGGTCATGATGAGCTTTACATAAGTCAATGTACATATTGAGCTTGAAACAGTGTCCAGCAAATAGTAAGTGTCAGCCATCATTAAAGTTATTGACATTGGCCCATACCTGCTAGTGGTTGGGCTGATAGTTTTGTTCATTCATTTATTGAACATATATTTACAGACATCTTACATGTGCTGAGGACACAGCAGTGAACAAAACCAACAAACCGCCCTGGCTGGAATGGCTCACTGGATTGAGTGCTGGTCTGTGAACCAAAAGGTCACCGGTTTGATTCCCACTCAGGGCACATGACTGGGTTGCAGACCAGGTTCCCCACTTTGGGGCATGCAAGAGGCAACTGATCAATGTATCTCTCTTGCACTGTTGTTTCTGTCCCTCTCTTTCTCTCTCCCTTTCCCTCTCCAAAAAACAAAACAAAACAAAAAACAAACAACAAAAAAAGCCCCCTACCTTCACGAAGTTTATCTAGTTGGTCGATGTCTTCTGTAAGAGCAGCTGTGGGCAGACCTCATGCCCTTGCTGGACCTTGGTTTCTCCGTATCAGTAATGAGGAGGTTCTCTGTGTACTGACAAAAATGGAGGCCTGGGGCAAAGGACTTCCTAACAGTCAGCTGTCCCATTGTGGCACCAGCCTTCTCCTCTAGGGAGAAAGAACCCCGTGGCCAGAAGTAACCAACCAAAGGCTAAACATCTTGAAGGTCCCTCTCTACCCTGAGATGTTAAGAAAATTTAAGGCATTACTAATCCATGATGGAAATGATAAATTTAGGAGCACACACATGAAACTTGGGAAAACTTCTTAAATTCAAGATAATAACAGCATGGCCACAAGGTGGCACCACCATCCGGGCCCAAGCTTGAAAAAAGATTTTTTTTTTCGTTTTAAATTATAGCAAAGTACAGAACATAGTATAACAAACATCTGTGACTCTGTCACCAAGAATGAACAAACATTAACATCTTTATCATGTTTTCCTTAGGTCTTTTTTTTTTTTTAAAAAAGGTTATCAAACATTATAGGTAAGTTAAAGCAGAGGGACCAATATTCTATTCCACTATACCCTGCTGATTTTTCAAAACTAAAGTTTATCAGGCAGCTCCTCTGATAAACTCATTTTGTTCAACACTCATTCTTTTCACATTTTCACCACCCCAGTTGCACAGTAGCAGCGAAATGAAGAGGCTTGGCCAAGTTCACAGAGCAAGTAGCAGAATCAGGGTTACCAGGTCGCTGGGCTCCGAAGTCTGCTGTACACAGCGCCTCTCAGGTTTGCTGTTGCTCAGCCAGAGGTCCCTAGGCTGATTGGTTTAGTGCAGAGCTGGATGCACTCCCATTGCTCTGATGGGAACATGGAGGCCAACAGCTAGCACTGACACAGCACCATAAAGTTTACGGCTTATACCCGGCTCATCTCATCCCCCCAATGACCTGTGAGGTGGGTGCTGTATTATTCCGCTAACTACTGCAGGCGGGAAAACAGTGACCCAAGGAGATGGAGCTGCCGGCCCTAAGTCTGCAGAGCCGGCAAGTGGCAGAAATGGGATCTCAGGTCTGGTCTTTATGATGTCCATCCAGTGCTTGGTACATGACACCCTGTTCCTTGGGGCATGGCAGAAACTGTCAGGGCGGTGCAGGTGGCATTGGAAGGGACGATAGGCCTCCTCCTCCTGCTGCATAGATCCATGGGTGGGCAAGACAGGGGCTCATGAGTGGGTGGAGGGTACTGTAGGATCTTAAGGCTTCTCTGCCTTGGGTGCTGGGCAGACCCAGGTTTCAGTTCCGCTGGATCACTTGCTGCTGGTCACCATGGGTCGGATCTTGGCCTCTCTGGGCCCCACTGGAACATCGGTCTCTCAGCATCTTTATAGACATCACAATAATAAAATGAGGCCTTTGGAACATAGCAGGACCCTCATCTGTGGGAGCTGCAGGGTTCCGAACAAGTCTCCCCCATAAGGTATGCCTCTGTGGTGCACAGATTCTTTTGAGCTGAAGGCCATCAAGACCCCGTGGGCTCAAGGGAAATTTGGTCCTCTCCTTTAAAGACTTTAACCGTGGGGCCTTGCCCATAAAAGTTATCACCAGAAATAACCTTTTCTTGATATATTTGTGTGGCAGGGCAAACATCTAATTACTGAACACCTGCTCTTCATATCCAGCTGCGAATGGCCCGCCTCCCTTCTGAGGCCTAAGACCCTGACCTTGTCCTTAGCCCAGGATGTCATACATACCTCCCTGTCCCTGTCTGTCTCTGAACCTCTCTGTGTGCGTGGTTCCCACATGTACGTATGTAATTAAATTTGGTTACTTTCTCTTGTTTATCTGTCTCACGCCAATTTGATCATTAGACCAGCTGGAAGAACCTAGAAGCCAGAGGAGAATTTCTTCCTCCCTGACAGAGGTGTCACTTTTCTGTTTCTATGAAGGAAAGTGTCTCCCCTTTAGATTTCCTTTATATTCCTCCACTTTATTTTTTTCTATAGCAATGGTCACTTTATGATTAAGCCTCTATTATGCTTATTGTTTATTATCTGCCTCCTTCCACTAGGAGGTAAATACCACAAAGCCGGGTTCTCCGTTTTGGTTACCGT